TATCCCAGCAAAGCTGCCCAAAGAGAAGGCGAGGCATCCCCCCGAAATTTTCAGAGCCAAACATTATCCACCCTACCCGCCTGCTACCTTCTCCTTGCAGCAATGCCACTGGGGTAAGAGACCAAAAGAAAAGAAAAAGGTTTTATTGTTGGGACAAAATTGGTCTCAATCACCCCAAATAGACCGCGGCGCCTCTGGAGCCATAGGCAGATGGGTGCGGAAGGATGTGAAACGATGCGGGGGGATGCAGGTGGGATGCAAAGCCATGCAGAGGGATGCAGAGGGAGGCAGGGGGATGCACCGTGCTGGGAGGCTGCATGGGGAACTGCCGATCGATGCTCTCCCACCAGTGGCACACAGCAAAGGAAGGATTTAACCCAGAAACTCAGAACAGGGGGTTGGCAGCCGCTGCCAGATCCCTGCCTGCGTCCCAGAGCATAGAGATGACCCCAGGCAGGGTAGGTCAGCAGCCATCGCCTCGGCTGCGAGACGGCCGCTCGTGTGGGACCGTGTTTGGAGGTCCTTGAGAGCCACACATCGTCCTCGGAGGCTGTGGGAGGGGGTGACGCCACTCGGGGCACAGAGGGTCAGGCTGTTGGGGCGTACGGCTGAGGAGAGGGGGCTCCGGTTGCAGCCTACACCGAGAGTTTTAAAGCCAAAATCACGTTGCCTGGTCTCTGCTCAGCGAGGAGGGACAAAGTGCTTCTCACTTCCTTCTTGAGGGCACACCAGGGTGGAAACTGCAAGTCTCCCGCTGCTATTTACAGAGGCAGGTTTCCCCTGCAAAACCCCGAGAGCCGGCGGGCAGGGCTGGGGCCATGGCTCCGGGGCCGTGTTCTGCCACGCTCAAGCAGTGCAGGCAACGCCGAAATCGTGATTTCCTTTGCTGTTGGCTTTGGCTCTGCAGGCAAAGGGGCCGCAGGCTCTGCCCTCTGCCCGGGGCACAGCGCTGATGGGACGAGTCTGCGCATGGATGGCCACCAGCTACGTGCAAAGGTGCATTTATCGCCCCCAAACCCTTGCGCCATGCAACCTCATGCCCCCAGCCATGCCTCTGCCTTTCTGCTCCATCCCAGGGCCCTCCCTAAGTCTTCCCAGTGGGAGACTTGAGCCCAGCAATGATCCCGTCCTTGGCATCAGATGCACGTGCAGAGCCATGACACGTAGCCCAGCGTTGGTGCTGCCGCATCCCTGTGGCCATGGTGTGCCTCCTCTCCCCATCCTCGCTCCAAGCCCTGTGGTCCATTGGATGGTCCCGTGGCTGCTTCCCTCCTTCCCACAGGAGCTGGGGTGTGATGGGACCCATCCAGCCACTGCAGAACTGAGCAGCCACAAGGTGTTGGGTCTCTGTGCTTTGGCCTTTGTTCCCTGTGAGCAGGTTCAACCTCCAACGTCCCTGCCATGGGCACAGAGCGTTGCACCCTGCGAGCGGCCTTTTGGTCTCTCTCCGTGCTCACCACGGTGATCTGCAGCTAAGTAGGAGTTTTTGAACCAAACGGAAAAAACCTTGACGCTGCCTCGCTGATGTTTACAGAAAGTAACAGGTATTGCTTCTTCCTTCCCCCTTCGGCTGCTTCTGCAGAAAGGTCCCGCCGGGCTGACCTGAGTCACCATCCCGCCGTGCTCCCAGCGCCCCTCGCCCCTTCCCGGCAGCACGGCCACGGCACAGCCACAGCCACAGCCACAGCCACGGCACAGCCCTGCCCAGCACCTCTGTGGGAAAGGGGCAGAAACCTCCAAAAATGAGCACCCTGCTAGTGGAAAAGGGGGGAACCACTAACCGGACAGTCGGGCTTTGCTTTCACTAGACGTCCCCTACGGAGCATCGTGCCACCGGCCGGATCTACTGGGTGTATTTGCCCAGTTGGGGGCACCGGGGCAGCCGTGGCGGCGATTGCAGCGCCCTCCCTCCTGCGCCGGCTGAGCGAGGGCAGACGCTCTCAGCACCACGGGGCAGTCGCAATCCCACCTCTGAGGGACCCCCACCCTGGGGGGCCGCCCGTCGCAGGTTTGCTGATCAAGCCCATTCCGCTTGCAGGGTGAGGTGAGACCTAAAAATAAATAGACAGCTGTACTCTTGGAGGCTGCCAACAGCGCAGAGGGAGCCCTTTTCCTCGTGTGAAAACCAAGCTGGGTTATTAATGCTCCGTGCACCTCCACTGCCAGCAGCGAGGGCAGTGTCGGGCTCCGAGCGCAGCCGGGACCTCCGTTGCCCACAAAGGGCAGCACAGGACAGCAAAGCCCTCCGGCAACCCTCCCGCCTCCGAGGCATGGGTGCACTAGAGAAAAGCGGTGCCTAAAGTATCTTATCGGGGCCCACAAGATGCTCTACGTGCCGTGAGCAGGAGGCAGGGCAGTGGGGTGGGCTGACCACCCTGTAGACATGGAAAGGATGGGCGCGCGGAGTGATGCGCAGTCCTGGCCAGAGTCAGGGGAAGCACCATGTGGCATCAGAAGGATGTTACCCACGGGGCTCTGCCGGCCGTGACACAGAGCCCCGGCGAGGGGGACTCGCTCCTCTCTACCTGCAGCATCCCCTTTTCTCCTCATGGCCTCTTGCTCGGACATAGCTGCTCCCTCTCGGCAAAGCCCGGGAAACCAGTAACCCACAGGGTCGCTCACCAGTTCTCCTGACCCAGGATAGCTCTTTACAGAGCAAAACATCCCTCTCTGCAGAAGAAAACCTCCCACTGCAGGCAGGCAGGCAATGCGAGGGCCGGTCCCGCAGAGCCCCCCCCC